AGCATTTGAAGCAGGGGAGTGGTGTCATCTAAGTTATATTTTTTAAAGATTGTATTAGATGCTTGTGGAGGGTATATTAGAAAGTAGCAAAATAGAGGAGGTGGGAGACCAGTTTAAGGAGCAGTCTGGTGATGAGGATGACTTGGGCTGGTGTGGAAGCAGTAAAAAGAAGAGAAGTTGAATTAGCCCTGGACAGTGTGCTCAGTGGTTAGGGTTGGCCTGAGCACCAAAGGCTCACGGGTTAGATTTCAGTTCCATTCAGGGCACTTACAGGAGGCAGCCAATCGATATGTCCCTTTCACACCAATGCTTTTCTCTCTGTCTCTCTCTCTTCACTCCCTCCTTTTCTTCTCCCTGCTCCCTCCCTCCCTTCCGTTCTCTCTAAAAATCAGTGGAAAAAATATCCTCCAGTGGGGATTAACAGAAAAAGAGAGAGAAGTTGAATTAGAGATGTGTTTTGGAGATGGAAACCATGAGACTTGCTGATAAGTTTGCAGGAAACAAGGAAAGGAAGAATCAAGGATGGCAGTCAAATGTCTGGCTCGAGCAACTGGATGAAAACTTCATTTGCTGAGATAAAGAAGACAGGGAGAAATAGTTCTGGGTGTTTTGAACTTGCTAAATTTAAGTGCATATGTGTTTAGAGGCCCAGTGAATGAAAATTCATGCACATGGAGGGGTCCCTCAGCCCAGCCTGCACCCTCTCACAGTCTGGGGCTCTTGGGAGATGCCCATCTGCTGGCTTAGGCCTGCTCCCCGAGAACAGATGATCTAAAAGAAATAATCATGTCCTTGGGTAAGGATTTTTTTAAAAAGGTAATTGGTCACATGAAAATTTACTGCCGGCGGGGCTGAGGGGACTGGGCGCCACCATCTTGTAGCTGTGGGCACTGCCATCTTGGGAGGGTGTGAGGGTCAATTAGCATATTACCTCTTTATTATATAGGATGTCAGGTAGGCAATCAAGTGCAGAGGAGATTTCAGTGAGTGACGTAGATTTTGGAGTTTTCAGTATATAGATGGCGTTTAATTTAAAGTCATGGTAGAGATGAAATCACTGTGAATGAGAATGTGAGAGAGAAGAGGGCCCAGTACTGTGCCCCGGAGAACTCCAGCGTGCAGAGTTTGACTAGGGAGGCAGAAAAGGTGCTGCCGCAGAGGACATAGAAAACCAGTCGAACGTACTGATATGGATTCCAGGGTGGGCCGTGTTGAGAGAGGGAAGGTGGTCACTCTGGCCATTGCTGGTCTAGAAAAGTGGCCATTGGACTCGGTAATGAGGCCATTAAGGGCACCGAGAAGAGCAGTGGGTAGCTTGAGGAAAGATGGGGCTGAGGAAATGTCATGTAAATATGTGCTTCTCCAATCTTAAGATGCAGGTGAATTACCTGGAAATCTTGTCAAAATGTAGATTCTTTTCCAGAGCCTGAGATTCTGCACTCTAAGAGCATCCAGATAATTCCAGTGCTGCTGGTTCATGGATTAGTGTATGTTAAAATTACATAGAGGGCCCTGGCTGGTGTCTCAGTTGGACATCGTGCCATGCACTGAAAGGTTGCTGGTTCCATTCCTGGTCAGGGCACATGGAGGGGTGTAGACTCAATCCCCTTCAGGAGACAGCAGATCAATGTGCTGCACTCACATTGATGTTTCTCTCTCTCTCTCTCTCTCTCTCTCTCTCTCTCTCTCTCTCTCTCTCTCTCTCCCCTCCCCTTCCTTTTCCTCTCTCTCTATAAAAATCAATAAAAATATTTTGGAAAATTATGTGGAGGGCTTGATAAAATTACATATTATTGGACCCACTTCAGACTTTCTGATTCAGTAGGTATGGGGTGGAAGCTGAACGTTTAAATTTCTTCTAAGTTCCTGTGTGGTACTGAATCTGCTGGTCTAGGAACCACACTTTGAGAACCACTGGGAAGGTTTTAACTGTGATGGGGAGCTGTCAAGAGAGATTTTTCTTTTGTTTGTTGAGGATGGCAAATAACTAGAGCATTTTTATGCTGATGAGAATGATCCATTAGGGAGAAACTGATTATGTAAGAGAGAAAGAGAACAAAGGAGTTAGTCCTTGAAAGGATGAGGGAAGATGGGCTTTTTATAAGAAAGAGCATGCGCCCTTCACTGTGGCAAGAGAGGGTGCAGAGAAGATGGGTCCATAGGTTTGTAGATTTAATGACAGGCAGATGGAGTTCCCCTTTGATGGTTTTTATTTCCTCAATGAGGGCATGGGCTACTCCTGAGGAAGGAGGTGACGTCAAAGGCTGACTTTGAGTAGGAAAATCAACTTTAAGAAAAACAGGGTAGTATTGAGAGGCTTATTTGAGGTTAAGGTAAGAAATTAAGAGTGAAACCGATCTGCATGATTGTGATTTTTTTCTTTTTTTCTTCAACCACAGTTTTTCAACCACAGTCAGACATGAAAATTAAATAGTTGAGATCTCCCAGAGGTAGACTTTATCTAGGAGAAAGAGAGAGGCGGGGGAGGGGGAGGTGGGGGGGGGAGAAAGAGAGAGAGACAGACAGACAGACAGACATGAGAGGGCGCAGGATAGAAATAAGCAATGATGAAGAGGTTAATGAATTAGCATAGTTAGGGTACAAGTAAACTGAAACTAAAAGGCACAGGTGTGTGATGGAAAAGCAGTGCTGGCATTCAGAATTTGGTAGGCAGGGCAGCTCTTGGTGGTGACAGAGGTCCAGAGTGTGGCACTGAGGTGGAGTTTCCTGGAGAGGTCAGGAAACTGAGACCAGGATGTTGGATGTGCCCTCCCTGGATGTTGAGGTTGCCAAGAATGATGACAGAAGTTGGGAGTGGAGAGAGACTTTGAGATAGAAACTAACTTTTCAATGAATGATGGAAAATCCCAGGTCAGTGGATGACAGCAGCAGAGAGGGTTGTGAGCAGGGACTTTTATAAAACAAAGGGCGAGTTAGGGTTGGAAGTGGTAATGCTTGGCAAGGCGGACATCTACCCACCCTGCTAGCCTTGAGGAACCTGGGATGCTAGGGAGAGGGTGCCCTCTAGATGCCAGGCTGTGAGGGAAGTAGCATCTTCACGGTACAGCTTAGTGTTAGTTAAAGCAGAGATGGAGGGGAGGTTCAGAAAAGGGGTTGAATATGTCCATGAGTTTATCACAGAGAGGGAGCTGAAGAGCAAAGACAGGGTGAGCATTTGGGAGTGAAGGTAGGGAGCTTCTGGAGTAAGCCCAGAGTCTTATGGGAACGAGAGTTTGGTGAAAATAAATGATCTGAAATCTTGAGCACGCATTCGAGACTGACAGAAACAGGCGGATGAGGCATGATGGAGTTGGCCAAGTCTCTAAAAATACTGAGCATGCATAGTAAGTGTGTTGCTGCAGATGTTCTGTGCGGTCAGCCTCTGCCGACTAGTCCACCTCTGACCTCATTCTCTTCAGCTCCGCCGGCTCCTGTGCTCGCACACCGTCGTTCTCTCGGCCACTTCAGCTGGCCCCGGTCTCCTTCCCCTTGTTTGCAGCGTGGCTGATAGCGTGAGCTCTGGCTCCAGACTTTTTCTGCCGCTTTCTAGCTTTGTGAAGGCTATTGAACCTCCCTGGGCTCCAGCTGCCTCATTTGTAAAAGTGATAGTAGTACTTACTACAGAGGGACGTTGGGAACTAAAAGGGTTAATTTTAAAAATGTCAGATGCTGTCGGTGGTTTCTGGTATTCAGTGAAGATTCAATAAGTATTTTTTTTGTAATGCTTAAAGCTCTTTTTTCCTATTTCTTTTTTTTTTTTTTTTTTTAAATATATTTTTATTGATTTTGTACAGAGAGGAAAGGAGAGAGATAGAGAGCTAGAAACATCGATGAGAGAGAGTCATCGACCAGCTGCCTCTTGCACACCCCCTACTGGGGAAATGCCCGCAACCAAGGTACGTGCCCTTGACCGGAATTGAACCCGGGACCTTTCAGTCCCCAAGCCGACGCTCTATCCATTGAGCCAAACCGGTCTCGGCTCTTTTTTCCTATTTCTTTACATGGTTGCTACTTACATTCAGCTGTCTCAGCTTCCCCAGACATCCTGGCTAAAGTAGCATGACTCCATTGGTTCTCTTAACCCTGTTTATCATTATCCTGTTTTATTGAGTCATAGCATTCATCACTGTGTTTTTAAATATGTTTCTTGGACTTTTTATAGAGAGGGATAGAGAGATAGAAACCTTGATCAGCTGTCTCCTGCATGCCCTCTACTTGGGATCGTGTCCACAACCTGGGCATATGCCAGACGGGGAATCAAACTGGTGACCTCTTGGTCATGGGTTGACACCCAACTACTGAAACACTGGCTGGGCATTCATCACTATTTGAAGTTATTTTATTACTTTGCTGCTCCCCTCTCCCTGCTTCCTCTGAGGGTGGGGGTTTGTTGGCTTGTTCCCTGCTGTATCTCAGCTTCTAAAAAGTGTCAGATACTTTAAAGGTGCTCAAAAAGTTTTATACCAGCTTGTCCCGAAAACATGGTGGTTTCCAAGGCGTCTACTCACAACAGCCAGCTTATTGTGGCAAAGGGACGGCGAGACCAGGCCGAGGCCAGCTGGAACCCTGCTCCTTGTGTATCAGTCTGTTGGCTTCTCGGAACAGGTGCCTCCTTTCTTGAGCTACTGGGACATAGCCACGTCCATTTTTCAAATTTATTATCTGGCTGCTTTTCAGCTACAAACACAAAGTGCAGTAGCTCTGACAGAGACTCTAGGCCTCACAGAGTCTAAATAATTACTGTCCAGCCCTTCACGGAAAAGTTTGCTGACCCCTGATTTAGATGCATACAACAAAAAGGCTAATAGGAAACACCTAAAATAATGACAAGTTTTATTTGGGTAATGGAATTACAGGTTATTTTAGTTTTTATCTTTATACTTTTCTGGTATTTTGTTATAGACCCATTTAATTTGTAAATGAAATAGCCTTGTAAAAGCTAAATTTTTAAGTATTTACAGCACTTTTAATGACTTTTTTTGTGTGTGTTTTTTCCTTAGTTCTGCTTTTGACACAAAAACTGGGTTGCGTGTGGCCGTGAAGAAGCTCTCCAGACCGTTCCAGTCCATCATTCACGCCAAAAGGACCTACAGAGAGCTGCGGCTGCTCAAGCATATGAAACATGAAAACGTAAGTTCTCCACTCCCTTCTGCTCCGAATGGGCTAGAAAAACTTGTTTTAATTACTGCCGGTGGCAGTACATTCCAGGGCATCGGATTTGGACCAGCTCCTTTATCGGGTGTTAGTAGCCACGCTTTATGTCAAAGGATATATTATGAGTTATGACAATTCATAGCAAGTTTTAAGAGAAAATATTACACACAAAAAGTGTGTTCTTTACCTGGTTTACTTAAGGCCACCTTATTATAATATGGGATCCCTGGCTATTTTGTGGTGTTTTGGGTTATTTCAGTGGAGAAGTTTGAGGAAGGAGAACTTAGGCTCACTCAAAGTCCTATCAGAGATGGCTATTATTTTATGTACAAATTAATATTATAATTTTTATTTTCGGTCTGCAAAAGCAGCTTTACCAGATTTGGGTATTTTAATAAATATGACAAAGACATTATAAATATGACAAAAACTTTTTCTTTTCTATCAATTTGGAAATTTGAGAGCAATGCTATCCTGCAGAGGAATGCTTAAAAGTTCTAATATGGTAAATAAGGAGATGCAGATCTAATATGGTAAATAAGGAATATAATCTGAAAATGGAAAAACAATTGACTGAGGACACTTATTTGCCTGTGTTTTGAAATCAGGTTAAAAAGAATTTATGTGGCCGAAACCGGTTTGGCTCAGTGGTGAGCGTCGGTCTACGGACTCAAGGGTCCCGGGCTCGATTCCAGTCAAGGGCATGTACATTGGTTGCGGGCACATCCCCGGTGGGGTGTGTGCAGGAGGCAGTTGGTCGATGTGTCTCTCTCATCAATGTTTCTAACTCTCTGTCCCTCTCCTTTCCTCTCTGTGAAAAATCAATAAAATATTATTTAAAAAAAAAAAAAGAATTTATGTGATATGTGAAAGGAACTGTAAATTTTGTAGCATTGTAGAAACAATGACCATAGAGATTTTAGAGTCATTTGACACTATTGATTGTTACTGTGTAGAGGAAAAATTCAAAACCTAAATTTATTACTTGGCTATTCAGACCTTTCCTGTTTTAATAATTGAACTTGTTTTGTCCATAGTAAGAAAAAAAAAAAACCATGATAAGTGATACATTATTAATATACACTTGTTTCACAAAGTATGAATTTCTTCTACATTGAGACTTGAATTCAGAACTGGATTACAGGTGCTGTTATAATTTTTCCTAGGTATAATACAGTTACGTCGGACTCGAATGTACATCATTTTGTGGTTACGTGCTATCTCCCATTTATTTATTTTTAAAAAGTTCCATCATTTCAATATATGTACCTATGTGCTTTATGTTTTTTATTATTTATTTACCACAAGTAAAGGTCCGGAATTGTTATCTTTCTAAGTTTTTTTACTGTTTCACTTCATTACTGCTGTGTATGTGCTCCATGTGAGTGACGTAGGTGCTTATGTAGGTGGGTTCCGACTTCTGGCGAAAATCACGTTACGTCGCGCCGTAGAAACTGATCGACGTAACCCGAGGACCTACTGTAATTATAAACTTATAATTATAATTTATAATTATTCTCAGGTATAATTTTATAAAAGCATCCATGTGCAAGCCTAAGTTTTTAAAAATTTCAGTGCAGACCTGCAGTTTTTCTAATCAGCGACATGTTTACAAGAAGTTGAGATTGTGGAAAAAGCTGTCAAGAGAAGCTCGAATCCAAGGTCTGCATAAAATCAAGGTGGCCTGGCAGCTTAATTGTTACATTTACACGGGTTTTTAACAGTTAGTGTGTATGCTGTTTTCATTACATATTAATATGACAGAGACATTGTTATAGCTTTTTAAATATAGGGAATACTTAGAAAATGGGATGCTAGCAAACATAGATAGAACCCTAAAATACCTGCAAAGGCCTCAGGATCCCACACTAAGTAAAGAACATCTGGCTTACCAGTGCTATATACTTTACTGTTACAAATTAAGCCAGTATTTAGGGCATAATTTATTTTGGGTTATCTGAATCCATGCCTTGACTTTCCTCAGTGATCATAAGCAACAACCTTATGTAGTTTTTTATGCTTTAATTTTCTGTAATGAGATAATTTGAAATGTGTCATGACATTGGCCTGGTTACATTTGGGCCATTTTGTATTTGTGAAATGAGGAGGCCACAGTGATGGATAGTTTTTGTCATTTAGGATGACTCCGTTTAAAAGGAGAGCTGAACCTGGCTAGGGTGGTTCAGTGGCTGAGTGTCTATCCACGCACCAGGAGGTCTCAGTCTGATTCCCTGTCAGGGCACATGCCTGGGTTTCCGGGGCCCATTCCCATAGGGGATGTGCAGGAGGCAGCTGATCAATATTGATGTTGTGTCTCCCTCTCCCTCTCTCTTTTCCTTTCCCTCTCCCTCTACTCCTCCCCTTCTCCCTCTCTCTTTCCCTTTCACACTCTCTCTAAAACCAAATGGGGAAAAAACATTTAAAAAGTAAGAGGGCTGACTGAATTAGTAAAACAGGGTTTTAATGTACATAAATTATTTTATAAACAACGAGCTTAATAGTCTATCATTTTTATATTAAGACGTTTAGATTTTAGCAGTATCAGACGGTAACCTGTGCTTAGATATTGGTGATTTTATTGTTTGAACAAAAGAAGGCATATGGCTGAATGTTTTATAGTTCTCTGTTGTTTTGGCAAATGTTTGAAGAGGGAATGAGAAGAGACCAAAAGACTGACTCCAAGTAGAAAAATTCCTGAGTTTTAGTCTTGTCTACAAACAATTGTTAGGTGCTTACAATGTAAAAGGAGTTTTACCTGTAAAGAACCAAGACTTCAAGGTTAACCAAGGATTTTTTGTTATTGTTAATCCTTACCTGAGGCTATTTTTTCCATTGCTTTTCAGAGAAAATGAAGGGGGTGGGGGGGGGGGGAGAGAAAGAGAGAGAGAAACATCTGTGTGAGAAAGACACATTGACTGGTTGCCTCCTGCACATGCCCTGGGGAATGAACCCAAAACCCAGGTACATGGCCTTGACCAGAAATTGAACCTGCAACCCATTGGCTCATGGGCCAGTGCTCTAATCACTGAGCAACCTGTTGGAGCAAGCAAGGATTTTAAAAGGAATTCCTCTCCTTTGTCCTCTTCCTCTTTTTTCTTTATTTTAAATGACTGTTTTGGGCCACCATCTAATTTTTATGTAGCCACCAGACCACCAAAGACAATAGCTTAAAACTCTTTAAAAGTTTAAGTAAATATTGGTAATAAAAATAAGGTGCTGGCCCTAACGGGTTTGGCTCAGTGGATAGAGCATCGGTCTGCAGACTCAAGGGTCCCACATTCGATTCCAGTCAAGAGCATGTACCTTGGTTGCGGGCACATACCCAGTGGGGAGTGTGCAGAAGGCAGCTGATTGATGTTTCTCTCTCATCGATGCTTCTAACTCTCTATCCCTCTCCCTTCCTCTCTGTGAAAAATCAATAAAATATATATATTTAAAAAATAAGATGATGAATGCCCATGTGATCTTTACACATAAATGCCTCTGACCTACAATCCCTGCATAATTCATCTTTAGTTAGGTATTTATTTCACTGGTGATAATAAATGATAGGTGTACATTTATCAGGTGGTTAATAAGAACTAAGGGATGTTTCCTGTGACTGTAAGTTACTCTGAACAAAGTTAGCTTGCTTGCTCTGATTGAACTTGTGACCTTGGTCTCATTAACACCTGCTCTAAGGAAAGATTAAAGGGAAGCGACCTGCCAGCTCATCCTTTTGCTGTCGGGGTAATTATTCAAAGACTGCCCCTGGAGATCTGTAAGGTTTGAAATTTAAAAATGACTAAGGGAATCCTTTCATAAATTTTATTCGGGGACTTTAGATTCAGTCTCACCATGGTAGACCAAGTGGTGGTTTTATGGCTTGTGTTAAATACAGTAAATATTATCTTTGATTACTGAGTTAAAGTGTTTATTTTTTGAGTGTTTGCTAATTTAATAAAAATGTATTACCCTGTTAGCTTTTGGACCATGGTAGGGCAATCAGATTGATTATTTGTATTGTAAATGGTTTGTTTTTCTAAAAATTTGAATCCTGGCCTTTTAGGTGTCATATAATGGCACAAAGAATAAGAAAATAGGCCAAAATATGATGAATTAAAAGGAAATTTCCATTAAAGAAATGAGAATTTATTAGATTATGTAATATTCCTAAAATGTTCGCCTGATCTATTTTAATGCTGAGAAACATTTTTTACAGTGTTTTCCTTATGATTAACACTCAAAAATATGATTAATAGGGAAGGGATATTTTGTAAAAGACTACAAAACATTAAAAATACTTTATTGTAAAAATAAACATAGTTTTAATTTCATAAAATGTGTTTCATTTAAGGAAATTAAAATTTGATAGGGCATTTATTAATATAATTTGTTCTACTTTTCCCAAATTAGTTCATTGTACTTTTTAAAAATATATATATTTTTATTGATTTCAGAGAGGGAGGGATAGAAACATTAATGATGAGAATCATAGTTCAGCTGCCTCCTGCCCGCCCCTACTGGGGATAAGTCCACAACCGGGCCATGTGCCTTTGACTGCAGTCCAACCCAGGACCCTTCAGTCAGCAGGCTGGCTCTCTATCCACTGAGCAAAAACGGCTTAGGGCAGAGGATGGTGTTCTTGATCATTGCTAGTCTGGATCCCCTAAAGCACTGGTTCTCAACCTTTCTAAGGCTACGACCCTTTAATACAGCTCCTCATGTGGTGACCCCAACCATAAAATTATTTTCGTTGCTACTTCGTAACTGTAATGTTGCTACTGTTATGGATCGTAATGTAAATATCTGTGTTTTGCGGTGGTCTTAGGTGACCCTGCTAGCGGTTCTCAACCTGTGGGTCGCCAGGTTGAGAGCTGCTGCTGAAGAGCCTGCCCTTTAAGAGGACCTGCTGGGTCTCCAGCAGCCTCTGTGTCACTCAGCCACAATCCTCACTGGTTTTTATAATCCAGAGCTGGGGATCTGGTGTGGGGCTGGGATCCTTGCTTCTCACCGGAGGCCTCTGCAGCCCAGATATCGCCCCCTATTGAAAATAGTGCCGCGTGTCAGCGTCGGACCCGAGTTCCTTGTGCACCTCTCTGCCATTCTCCGTGTGCTTTCTTCTTTACTTCTCTAGTTGTAGGATTTCCATTCAGCCAGAGATTTCAGGCGGTTCTGAATGATGGTTGTTCTGTATCTTAATTGTCTTAAACTTTTCTTGTATTGAGATGGGGCGTCTCATAACAGGAACCAGTGATTAGAAATGTTGGAACAGGTGGATAATACTGGCTTCTACTTCGCAGCTACCTAAATGCAAGTGGGTACAGGGGAGAGTAATCAAAAGACCAGAGGTGTTAAGGCAGGAGTATATCAAACTCAAAGAAAACAGTTGTGATTTAGATGGAGAAGTGTGTAGACCCACATCCGCGTGGTTCAGGGTTCAGGGTTTGGGCTCTGGTAGAGGGGCTGTGCACAAATGACAGAGACGAGACAATAAATAATCATTTGGAAACATTGGGGGCCATGCGGGAAAGCCCACTGCAAGAGAAAGGACTAACACTGGTGCTCAGGCCTCGCCAGCCTTTCATGCAGTTTTGGATACACATCTAGCCCTTAGGTGGGTAATGGCGGTAACAGATCATCCTGAAGGTCAGTAAATATTAGAAAGACTTACTGTGAGACTCTTTGGTCAGGAAATTGCCTGAGCCCCCATTGTCTGGGCTAAACAGTCGGTGCATAGCTCCGGCTCCTGCCAGGGGCTCAAGGGTCAACAGTGTTCCAGGATCCTTGTTTACACTTCTCTTACAGGGAAGGCAATGGGTGGCTTCCCACAGAGTAGGATAAAGAAATTGATTTCACTTACATTTAAAGCACTGTTGAGCGCCATGGATACATAAGATCATGGATACACTATTGGTGAGAATGCAAGTTGGCCTCACTTATGGTGGACAATTTGATAAGATTAAAATCCTTAAATACATTGGTGTTTTTTTCATGGGATAATAACATTTTTAAAAGAAAATGATATTGTAATAACAATTGTGGAAGTATGACTTGCTTCTGTTTCTTAGACTATTAGTGCATGTTAAGCCAAGACCCCTAAACCTTTTTGCTTCCTGATAAACTAGTAGCTATATATGACTAAATCCTAGGGAGTTTAATATTTTAATAGTAAACTAGATTTTTATGAGAGGTAATATTACAAGTAAAAACAAAAGCATAATTTTGATAGGAAATGTGTTACCCTGTGTATATATAATATTGTAATGTTATTGAACTCAACGGGATTTAGAATCAGTTCACAGTCGTAGACCTGATGGGTGCTATACTAAGTTCAGTATTTATTGACTGTTTGACTTTTATGTTTTCTTACAGGTAATTGGTCTGTTGGATGTTTTTACACCGGCAAGGTCTCTGGAGGAATTCAATGATGTGTGAGTAAAGCTTGTGCACTTGTCTTCCTCGGCTGGAAGATGAAAACTAGCAGCCCATGACTATTCCTGAGCCATTTAGCAGGTTACAGACTTCAAAGGAGTCTTTAATTCTGTCATCCAGTTCTCCTGGGGGCTGGAATGGATACAGAAGAGGTGTATTATGGGTAGTGAATATATTTTCATCATTTCAGACATATTGTACTCTATTTGGAGAGTCGGCGGTGATCCTTGCAAATGTTCAATGGAGAAGAGTATAGGGAGTTTGAACTATGATTTTTGTTCTGAACTTGCCTACCCCAGCTTTTAAAGGGACACTTTACCTTATTACATTTACATAAAGATATGTAATGGAGCTTTGATTCCCTATGGGTTCTTCCTTCTCTTCTCTCCCACCCGTGTGTGGGAACTGAGCCTGAAGCATTGGATTTCTGCACTGGGACGGGGTGGGCCTCCATGTTGAGAAAGCTGATGAATAGTTCTGATTCCCCCAGTTTTGTGACCATCTCTGGTTTTAGTAGTGGGGGCTAGGGAAAACGAGACAGGGAAGGAGAGAAAGCTGCTACAAGGATATGTTATTAAGTTGCTCACCATTGTGGGCTGGTGGGCTAAAAACTGCCAGGATCTTCTAGGAAACTGTACAGAGTGCACCTGAGATGGAGAGCACTTACCCACTGGCAAGATTACTCCACGGGGCATTCATGTCCTCATGTGCCCACGTTACATATGTGTGAATGCAAGACACATGCATGCACAGGTTTGAGTGCAGGATAATCCCAGCAGGCGTTTCTGTAGATGTACAAGCACTCCTGCAGCTTTCCCGCTGTGGAATCAGATCCCTCTCAGAGTGCTGTATTTTCTTTTTACCAAGGCCGAACCTATATTGACGCATCATAATCACCCAAAGTCCATAGTTTACCTCAAGGTTCACTCTGGGTATTGTACATTCTTTGGATTTGTACAAACGTATAACAACATATTATTTGGATGTACACTGTATTTTCATTGTCCTCAGAATGATGGGTCTTGATATTCTGCCTATATGTGGGAGAAATGCTGAAGCACTGTGTTTGTAAATTACTTTGGAAAACATTCAAATCAGGTCTGAGCTATTTCCCAGAATTTTAGGTGCAATGAAGATGGATTTATTTAACAAAGAAATTAATGAATGCTGACCTAGGCAAATGCTGTATTTTGGCTTAATCGGGCATTATGGAATTGGATTATTCTTATGTGAAAAGACCTTATTTAAGGCTAGTGTCTATTTGAAAGGTTAAGTTTTATCTGTTGTAGTGCCTTTGGCTCCTTTATCCTTTTGAAAGCCTACCAACTTAAGCATACCCACTAAACCAAAGTTGTGTTTGTTGCTTCTTTGAAGGAGTAGAAGAATTAGACGCATGGGTGTCTGTGGACATCATTCCAGGCAGAGGGGACAGCCAGTGAGAGGCTGTGGCAGAGGCTGTGTGAAGCACTGGGATCGCAGCAGAGGCCTGTGGCTGCAGTAAGGTTAGCTGGTGTGGAGCTGAGTGAGAGCCGGGAGAGAAGTAGGTGATGAAGTGAGAGTGATAATTGGGACAGCCTACTGGATTATGTAGGATTTATCTGAAGTTGAAGGGATTTTTGCCTTTTGATGAGAGGAGGGACATGATGTTGTTTTTATTTTTAAAGCATTATTGTCTGCTGTGTTGAGAACAGACTGTAATAAGGATCATTGAATGTATTTCAGAGGCTTGCAGTTGTCAATCCCGGTGATTATTTTAAATAGTTTCTTTAAATATGGAAGTGTTTTTTGCCTTTCATAATTGTGCTTTATCAATTAGGGCTGGCAGTAGGAAAGATACCAATCTGTAGATGTAAAAGTTTTTTGTTTTTTTTTCTACATGGGTTCTTTCTGACTGTATTATGCTTTAAACATTAAGGTGGTAGGGTAGGAATCTTGACAATTGGGGGTTACCCAAAAGTGCCTAATGACTGAAGTTGTAGAGTAGGGCTGTCTAGAAAACTGAAAATCACTTACTGTAGACATTTGCCTTTTTGCCGGTACAATACAATTTTAGCATGAGCCACTTTAAGAAATGGTGGTTTATACTGTTTGTAGTTTGAATAAATTTAAAGGAGACCATTTTTACAAGGAAAGTGAAAAGCAAGCTTTGTATCAGCCCATGAAATAATCTTTTCTGCCATTAGCCTAATAAAGTCCTATTCATTTACCTCCTTTTTGAAGATGGGAGAACTAGGAATAGATAGCTGTCCAGCTGTCCTCAAGTCAAACCTTTAATTTATTTGAGATATCATGAACACTGTCATGAGCGCTGCCTTTACAAAATTGTAATTACATTTGCTTTCCAGAGACAATAGCTATAGAACTGGGATATCTATTAATGCTTCTTTTGGAATTGACTTGTTTAAAATTTCCTCCCACTCCCTAGTTCACTACTTTTAAAAGTTGGCATGTCTTCAGTAAGCACTTGGTAACATTGCATGATGCTTGCTTTTGTCTACTCTTGAAAGATTTATTTTGGAAATATGTGATGAGTTGGAACTGGACAATTGATTGTCATGATTAGTCTTTGAGCTTCATGGAAACAACACACAGTGATTTGATTAATTCTTGCAAGACACTTCTGCCAGGAATAATGCTTTTCAGTTGATTCAGTTCAGCCTAGCAGCAGTGTTTGGTAGTTATGACTGTGTAGACTGGTCTAATATACTTACATAGTACATAGACTGTCTCACCCCCCTCTGGAGATTTCAGTGGTAAAATGATATGGTCCTGATGGGGAGGCTTGCAGGAAGTTACATGCTGGTGGAATATTCTAACTAAAAATATGTTCTCTCTCTCAAGCGAAGTCAAGGGTCTGCTGCCTGTATAGGATTCCTTGTCATTGGTAATCTTTAAAACACAATAGTTATACTTGAAATTACTGTGGTTGCATTGGTAATACTGATTACCACTTTTGTGAACTAGCAGACATTTTAGAGGATTAAGACTTTTAGGTTTTATTTCAAGACAAATTAAGGCAGAATCATCCAAAGCATTGTTTAGCTTTTCTCCTTAAAATTGTTTTTAAGTGGTGAGAGAATAATTCTCTTACTACCTGATGTCATAAAATAGAATTATTTGCAAAGCAGTCATATAAGACATAAATTGGATTCTCTCTTTCTCAACCTGAGCTTTGCAATTTGTCATAATTGGTGTTTTGGATATTGCAGCCATCAGCCCAGGTTTTCTGGGGGAAGTTCTGATTTCAAAATACTAACCAATTATTCACAGTTTTATCATATTTGTCAGATTATGTGTCGATTTTGGGTTTAAAAAATACAATGACTGATTAGGATAGAATATTCATTCATTGCTGCTTTGCCAGCTTTCTTTTTCCTTAAAGGTTAACTTTGATAATAAATATTGAGAATTGATAAAAAAGTTATCAGGAAATACTAGTTCCCTGGTTATTGACATTTGTAAAATATTTTTAAAAGATCATTCTCTCAACTTAGATTTTTTGTCAGCTGGAAGAATGCAGAGGCAGTATGTGCTGTGATTAAGATCACAGTCTCTGTGGTCAAATAGTTTTGAATGCAACCCCTGACATTTCCACTCTTTTAACCTTGGGCAAGTTGTACATTCTTGTTCTGTCTCTGTTTTCTCATCTGCAAAATGGGAATACCAATGGGACTGACTTCACAGAGTAGTAGAAAGAGTACATGAGCCATGGGCATAATAATAGTGCCTGGTACAGAGTAAGCACTGCCTTCCTTTATGCTGTGCTGGGCTTGGAACATCTCTCAAATAAGAACTTCATTATGAAAAAATTTCAGAAGGCCCAATTTTGTTTGTTTATTGGTTTGTTTTGTTAATCCTCACTCGAGGAATTTTTACATTGATTTTTAGAGAGAATGGAAGAGAGAGGGAAAGACGGAGAGAAACATCAGTGTGAAAGGAACACACCGATTGGTTGCCTCCTGTACCAACCCCACCAGGGAGGGCCCTGGGCTGGGAAGGAGCCTGCATGCCCTTGACCGGAATCAAACCCAGAACCCTTTGGTCCACAGGCTGGTGCTCTATCCATTGAGCCAAACCAGCTAGGGCACAAAAAGCGTAATTTATACTTCATATTACATTTAGAGTCCAACCTTCCCTCAAGGCAGTATAAATGTGCAACTTTTAAAAATATGAAATGCTAAAAATCTTAGGGTCACATACATCTAGGCTAACTCCTTTTGATCTTGGTGCAATTGGGAACTGACCATAACAGCCCAATAGGAAAATTAGGAAACAAAAATTTCTACACCTCTTTGAGGAAAGAAATTAACATATTCATATAATGCATTATAGTAGACTTAAATTCACTGGCCTGGTTTCTTTCCCTCCAATTTATTTTTAAAAAAGAAAGAAATGAATTGCAATCATCATTCTTTAAAGCTTAACTACTCTACATTATTATTCAGCCTCAGGAATGGGTAATGTTCATACACCGTAGATAAAACCTAATTTTTAAAAATTCAGCCTCTTTAGTATTGATGTGGTTTTTATGTTCTCCTCCCCCTGTAATGCAGTAATGAATGGGTAAGGCATTGCATCTAAAATATCTGTGTTAGACCTGTTGGACTTGAATGTAATCACTCCCTAATCTTTGTGTAATAATAGGATAATTACCATCACCACACCTGTGAGGAGTCGTTCTGGAATGCCTCTTCTTGCTTACAGATAAAATGTGTTCCTCCTTTCTTTAAAGTAAATGCAGGAATACAAGGGTGAACAATATTCTTTTACCTGTCATTTCTGGGGGGGGAAGGGGGGAGGAGAAAGTGTTAATAATTTGAAAATTTAAAGATACTCCAATTTTTTAGAATCTACAACTTGGAAGGTTTATAATGAGATGCAAATACGATGGTAGATTTATTTTTTAATTTTAATTTTTTAATATTTTCATTGATTTCAGAGAGAAAGGGAGAGGGAGAGATAGAAATATCAATGATGATAGAGAATCACTGCACATACCCCACTCCCCCACGGGGATCAAGCCCACAACCCAGGCATGTACCCTTGACTGGAATTGAACCTGAGACCCTTCATTCTGTAGGCCAATGCTCTATCCACTGAGCCAAACCAGCTAGGGTTGTAATGGTAGATTTAAAATACAAGATAACAGATATAATTCTAATATCCATTTTTATTCTTTAGAGAACCTAGGAAAAGATATGTCAATTAGGAATGAGTATAAAGTTTTTAGAAAAATAGATGGCAGGAGACAAAAGTTAGGATAGTAATTAAAAATGAGTCCCTGTGAGAAGTTACTAAGCTATTAGGTATCACTGTGGTACTTCCTGGCAGGCTTTTTCTTAAAAAGGTAAGAACTTCCTAAGGTTTCTGGATGATTGTGTAACTCTCCATTAATTTCTAGGTATCTGGTGACCCATCTCATGGGGGCAGATCTGAACAACATTGTGAAATGCCAGAAGCTTACGGATGACCATGTTCAGTTCCTTATCTACCAAATTCTCCGCGGTCTCAAGGTACACACAGTATAGTAATACTTTTGAGACATGAAATTCTCTCTCTCCTATTTAGGATTTAAGAGGGTTATGGAGAGTGAGACTAAAAAAAAAAAAAAAAATGTTCCTTGAAACATTTAGAACACTCCCAAAATCACTAGTACAATCAGCCCTGGGTTTACTCAATGACCACAATTACCAGCAATGGCCAATCTTGTTTCTCTTGTAATCCCCAAGCACTGGATTATTGTAAGGCAAGTCTAGACATCATCTCATTCCACCCAAAGATACTTCAGAATGCATGTCTGAGAGTGGAAGACTCCTCATTATTACACCTAAACAGTAATAATAATTTCTTGATAATAATCTAATATCTGGTCAGAGTCATGTTGAAACTTTAAAAACATCCTTAAGGAGGCTAACTTATTTGTGAAAGAGGCAGATAAACAGTGTTTAAAATTAAATCACTTGATATTTAGCCGGTTTAATCCTCATTGATCTATAGAGAACCAACTGGAAATAGATTGAAAGCACTGAATCACTCATTACTTCAGCTTTGAGTCAAGGTCATGGTGTGGAAATCATAGTTATGATAGATGCGCAGACTAATACTAATTACTTGTTCTGATTTCTAATCCCATGGTTTATACTAGCAGTTCTTACTGTTTCCTGACAATGTGCTTCAAATAAGTCATAATGTGACAGTGGGAAGTTGGCAATGACTTATTTAACTGACTCTTTTCTGTTTCACAGTATATACATTCAGCTGACATAATTCACAGGGTATGTCTTGTGTTTTTTATTAAATTATTTTGGGGAACTGGTGGCAGAGATGGGGGGATGGGGGACTGTCATTTAGCCAAGATAATTGATTAACTGTAACTTTAAGTTTAAATTGATTAAAAAAAGATGTATAGTTTCAACAATTTAAGGCTAATTAGGACTAGATAATGACTACAGAATGGAAATTGTCTGTTTATGGCTGGGTGAAGTCTTAGTTTTATGTTAGGATCTGAGGAAAGAATTCCCCGTGCACCAAAGCTGTTCCTGTCCTCTCTGTCCTTCCTCCTAGGACCTGAAACCTAGTAATCTGGCTGTGAACGAGGACTGTGAGCTGAAGGTAAGGGGAAGAGGCGGTGGGAAATAGTTGTTTCACTTTGTAATTACAGGTTTGATAAACCAGGCACATTTATACAGGGATTGGTTTTATAAGCTATGACTTTTTATCTGAAAAGTCATTTTGTCCTCAAGAATATCAAACTTTGATATTTAAACCATAGATTTGGTAAGCTTTAGTTTTTGTGTGTATGATTTTTTAATATGTTTTTATTGATTTTAGAGAGGGAGGGAGAGAGAGAAACATCAGTGATGAGAGAGAATCGTCGCTTGACTGCCTCTTGCACACCTCACACCAGGGATTGAGTTAGCAACTCTGTACCTTGACCGGGAATCAAACCATGACCTCCTGGTTCATAAGTTGACGCTCAACTACTGAGCCACGCCAGCCTGGCAGCTTTAGTTTTAAATGACATTGAAGGTGGCATCAGGTATCTTGTTTTCATTCTAAAAGTTAAGTTTGAAATTTAATATATTAGCTATAATAAAGGAAAATTATAGTCTGAATATCAAGTAAGCAGTCCTGAAGAAATAATTATTAGATTAAATTGAAAAAAATGGCAGAAGCCTTGTCATTCAAAATAGTTCAAATAAGAGATAAATAAATTGTCTATAAAGAACAAGCAGCTCTGGAGTTTCTTTGTTACATTTCTTTTTTTAATATATATATATTTTTAATTTTTCAAGTAAAGCTGACATACAATATTAGTTTCAGGTTTCATTTCATTGTTTACTCAATTTTTAAAACATAATTTACATACAGTAAAATGCATTCTTTTAAGTATGCATTTGACAAACTTATATATCCCTGTAAGCACCAACTCAGCTATGATAAAGAACATTTCCATCACCTCAGAAAGTTCTCCATATCCTTTCCTAGCCGATCCTCACCCTTCTTCCCCTAATCCTGGCTACAGACTACAGCCAACCTGCTTTCTGACACTTACAGGAAGATTTGTCTTTTCTGGAGTTTCATGCAAATAGAATCATACAGTATTTGTGTGTGTGTGTGTGTTGTGTGTATCTATGTCTGTGTGTGTGTCTGATTTTTGCTTAGTATAATATTTTTGAGCTTCATTTATATTGCGTGTGTCAATAGTTCATTCCTTTTTTTATTGCTGAGTAGTATCCAATTTATATTCATAAATCTGTATTCATCCATCTGTCGGTGGACATTTGTTTCAGCTCTAGTTTGGGGCTGTGTAAAGCTGCTATCAACATTCATGTGTTAGCTGTTGTGTGAACATTTCTTTCCATTGCTCTTGGTTAAATACCTAGCGATGGCATTCTTATTTTGCTTTTTGTAGCTTATTTTTCATTTCTCAAAGTACTTGCTGTGTTTCTCATGCGTTCTGAACATAGACCTGGATATATGTTTATGAATGTACTATTTTGTCCTCCCTTTTTATAGAATTTTTTCATCCTACTTTATAAGTTTTAGGAGTTGAATCTTTCAGCATCTGACTTCTCTCCTTTTTTTAGATCTTGGATTTTGGACTGGCTCGACACACAGACGATGAAATGACAGGCTATGTGGCCACCAGGTGGTACAGGGCTCCTGAGATCATGCTAAACTGGATGCATTACAACCAGACAGGTACTGCTTACATTGGTTATTCAGGGCCTGTTAATGCCATTTTGGGTGTATTTGGGATTCTCAGAAGTAGAGATAGTGGAATAGGAGGAAACTTCTTTTCTTCCCTCAGTGATCCTTTTAAAGTCCACAACTAGGAAATATTTCAGTACCTCAGGTAAAGTGGAAATTTTAATACACAGTTTTCAAATTTTGTGATTTAGCAATTGAGTTTTATTTATTTAGATTTTCAACTTATTCTGAATATTTCTACCTGAAGGCAATGGTTAGTAATCTTCACCTCTCAATATTGGGAGAATCTGCGATTTCTGCTAAGAAGAAACTTTTGCTCCTTTGTACACAGCTTATTTCTCTTGCCATAATTATATTTGGCCTTAATCCTACCTATGACGCCCTTTACTGGGGTGAGGGTCTTAATAAGCTCACTTATTCCTGTGAAAAGGAGTATGATTATTTAAACCAGATGCCTGAAATATTCGCTTGAGTGTTTCGCCCTTAGTTACGGTTTCCCTGGGAGCCAAACCCGATCACAGTGACATCGTGTGCCCTGTGCTTCTCTTTCCAGTTGACATTTGGTCGGTGGGATGCATAATGGCCGAGCTGCTGACTGGAAGAACATTGTTTCCTGGTACAGACCGTATCCTTTGGAAGTTTGGGTTCTTGTTTTTTAATTGTATCCCAGTGTCTGTGGGAGTATATGGCTTTTACCTGTCTCTAGGGAAGGTTCTCAGATACTTGCTTTTATAGTCCAGATATGCACATGAGATCTGCCCCTTTTGTGAGTTGGAAAAATTCTTCTTTAGCTGCAAAACCCTTTAAAGCTTTCATATGTCATCATTTTGCAGTGAGTTTAAGATCATATTCATATTCAGCGACCTGAAGGTATTAGTCTGCTTGTACAAATACTTAATGAGCACAAATACCCAATTTATAAATCAGGGGTGTCTCTTTATGTTTGGTTTACATATTTAAAAGGCTATATTTGGTCTCTGTAATGATATACCTGCTTGTAATAAAAGAGGAAGTAGTAAGGTCACCCTGTTTGGTGTACCTTTTTTTTTCCAGCACAACTTAATTTTTATCCCAGATAGCAGTCAGACCTTAATTTACTTCCAGACTTACTGTCTAGTTTGTGATTTATCATGGCCTGTTTATTTTAGCCCTTTCCTGTCTGCTGCATGCCTGCTTCACGGTTTAATATTAGCATCAAACTATGCTTTGCTGGAACTCCCATTGATTGCACGGGGTGACGATGTGTAGGCGAGAAGGCATGTTGACGTACTGTTCTAGAATTGGGGTGGAGGTTTTGTGAACTTGATGGGCCTAGCCTTCGGGGGTTAGGTGGCCTCCGGAGGCTGCGCTCACCGGCTTCAGTCATCTGTGAAGCAGCTTGTCCCCTCACCTCCGCCAACTGTGGTTTACAAACCAGAATGTCCGTTCACTGGCGTACAGTTTGGGATGTGCTACTGTGGTGACGATGTTCATGTTATCTGTCCACGTGTCCTGGCTCCCTCCAGAGGAAGTGTACTTTCCTGGTGACCCTCGGGAAGCTGTGTTTTCCTGGGCCTCACTGGATGGATAGGGCTCAGCCTCCTGTTTAGCTCTCTTACGGCTCCTCACCTCCAGATTTGTAGTTGGTTTAATACCCATGTTTCTTCTTTGTCTGTGCTTCATTTACCTTGTATCTGTTTCTTCAAAATTTGGGGTGAACATTACAGCCCGAGATAATGGGGGAGATTTGTGTTTCTCCTTTTCCTCAGGTCACAGCTCAGAGTCCCGCCCTGCAGTCTGTCCTCCGAGCACAGCGCTCTAACGCCGCCTCTGCTCACCTCTCTGCCGCCTCCTCTGCGGCTGACTCCCCGGCCCTCCGGAGACACTGGCACCTGCACGCGCCGGCAGGGAGCGCGCTGTGCTGGAGTCAGACTTCTGGGTCTTCCTGGGAGCTCTTCACTGCAGCTGTGTGACTGAGCGGTTTCCTGGGCTGGAAATGCTGATGGTAATAGCGCTTCCAGTACCTCACACGGCGCTGGGAGAATCAGTGAGATAGTGCCTGGCAACTGCTCAGCACAGAGCCTGCCGGAAACGTCAGCCATCTTCAGCCATCTTCTTCCTTAACGATCGCTGGGAAACAGTTCCTCCCTTCATCTTTGCACTCTGTTGTCTACCTTTGAGTCACTAAGCAAGACTGTTGCTGTGTTTAAGTTGGTGGTGGTAGTAAAGGATGATCCGCTTGGCAGGCTGCTGATCGAAAGGTTTCTAAGCAGCTGTGGCCGGCGGCTCACCTCGCAGGGAGACGCTGCCTGCTGGGCCCTTCAGGAATGCTCACTTGCAGCTGCTGACTCCTTCCCTGCGTGCATACTTCCCTCCTCCTCCGAACTTCACACAGAAAACCTGGCATTCCAACTTTTTACTAGGTGCTTCTTTCCGTAATACATGCGAGTTTATTTCACAATTCTTATGTAAGTAATGCACTGCTTCTACTTGGCTCTTTTGGAGGCGGGTCAAATTCAGAAGGTTTATATTTGTATTATAACATCCATCACTCCCTTGTCAGTTGCCATCTCTGTGGATGTAGCTTTGGTTGCCTGACAAAGAAGAGAGGGAAGTGGTTTCTGTTATTTTTTTTCTTGCCTGAAGTGTAGTCGCTTCTGTTCTCGCACAGTGGTTCTTAGCTCCCCTTGTGGGTAAGAGTATTTTGGAGCTTTAGAAACCTCCCGAGGCCTGGGCGCCGCTGAGACTCCCCTCCGCGGGGGTGGGCGAGTGCCCAGGCCTTGCAGGAGTGAAGTTCCGCTTGATTCTTGTGTGCAGCTGGTGTTGGGTGCGACTAGAATTTAACCCGATGGACGTTTAGTTTTAACCTTCTGGCTGATCCTTTTGGGCAGTCTTGCATCATTTTTATTTTTATTTCTTTAAGTATCAATGAGATCAGGAGGCTAAGAATCTAGAATTTCGGAGAAAGATGTTGGAAAACACTGGTTGTGCTCCCTGTGTTTGTAGAGGAGGAAGCTGAGACCCAGAGAGTGTACCTCCATCCAAACCTGTCCCCAGGCCCCAGATTCTCTCCAGAGCTGTCTGTTGTCTCGCCCCTCCTTTCTGGAACTCCTCTTCTTAAACCCTTTGGAGAAGGTGCTGACTCCACAGTCTTCTTCCTTTGCCCAGAAGGACACGCTGCTACTGCCTGTTGGGATTTCTAAGTGCAGCCGAATGCTGAGGGGACCGCTAGAGCATCCTGTCTATTTGAGTACACAGTTTTCTCTGGTTCCCTCATTTACTGATCATCTTGCATTTGTAACTGGTGATTTTAGCTTTAGATAAGAACTAAGTGATAGACTTCCTGTGGTGTTGCAATGTTTTGTATCTATGCTATCCAGTGTGGAGATTGGTAACCACCAGCCACATGCGGCTAGTGAGCACTTAAAACATGACTAGTGACTGAGGAACTAAATTAAAAGTACATTTGTGATAAAATGTATTAACATAAAAATTTATCAATTATACTTTTTGTGGTAAAAATAAGCGTAACATAAAATTTACTATCATGGCCGAAACCGGTTTGGCTCAGTGGTAGAGCGTCGGTCTGTGGACTGAAAGGTCCCAGGTTCGATTCCAGTCAGGGGCATGTACATTGGTTGCGGGCACATCCCCGGTGGGGGGTGTGCAAGAGGTAGCTGGTCGATGTTTCTCTCTCATCGATGTTTCTGGCTCTCTGTCCCTCTCCCTTCCTCTCTGTAAGATAATCAATAAAATATATTTAAAAAAGAAAAAAAAATTTGACCATTTTTGAGTATACAATGCAGTGGTGCTAATTATATTCACAAAGTTATATAACTATCACCACTCTCTAGTTCCAGAACACATCATCGCTCCAAACAGAAAGTCTGTACCTGTTCCTCCCTCTCGCAGCCTCTGGTTACCTCACTTCTACTTTCCATCTCTATGCTTTGCTTATTCTAGATATTTCATATAAGGGGAATCCACACTGTATCTGTCCTTTTATGTCTGGATTATTTCACATAGCATGTTTTCAAGTTTCATCCAATTCTAAACTATATAGAAATTTGTTCTTTTTTATGGCCGAATACTATCCATTATATGTATACTAGAGGCTCAGGGTGCACAGGTGGGGTCCCTTGGTCTGGCTTGTGGGGATTGGGCTGAAACTGGCTCTCCAACATTCCCTGAGGGGTCCTGGATTGTGAGAGGGCGCAGGCCAGGCTGTGGGACCCCACCAGTGACAATCAGGGCCGAGGAGGGACCGAGGGAGGGCTCCAGGGCATGTCCGGCCCATCTCGCCCAGTCTCAAGTTCCAATCAATCAGACCCCAGCAGCAAGCTAACCTACCTGTTGGAGTGTCTGCCCCTTGGTGGTCAGTATGAGTCATAGGGACTAGTTGAATGGATGATCGGACACTTAGCATATTAGGCTTTTATTATATAGGAGATTACATTTTGTTTCATCATTCATCTGTTCCTAGGCACAGGTGGTTTCTACCCTTCCAGCTATTGTGAATGTATATTGCAATGAACATTGGCGTGCAAGTACCTGTTTGAATCCTCACTTTTAATTATTTTGGGTATATACCTAGAAATGGAATTTTTGTGTCATATGGTAATTCTGTGTTTAGTTTTTTTAGGAACTGCCAAATTGTTTTCCACAGCAGCTGCACTATTTTATAGCCCACCAATGATGTATGAACAATTTCTCCACATCTTATCTTCACCAATACTCACTTATATCATTTTCCTTTTCTCCCCCCCCCTTTTCTTTCTCCCTCCCTTCCTTACTAGTATAGTCATCCCAGTAGGTGTGAAATGTTATCTCTATGTGGTTTTGATTTCCATTTCCCTTATGACTAATAATGTTGAGTATTCTCCTGTGTTTACTGTCCATTTGTGTGTGTGTGTGTGTGTGTGTGTGTGTGTGTGTGTGTGTGTGTGTCTTTTTTGAGAAATATACTAGTATATCAAATCCTTTACCCATTTTTTAATTGGATTGTCTTTTTTATATTGAATTTTAGGAGTCCTTTATATATTCTGAATAGTAAACTTTCATTAGGTATATGATTTGCTAATATGTTTTCCCATTCTGTGGACTGTCTACCCTGTTTATTTATTTTTAATCCTCACCTGAGGATCTGTTTATTGATTTTGAAAAAGAGAGAGAGGAGAGCAGGAGAGAGAAACATTTATCAGATCTATCAGTTGCCTCCATATTTCCCCCAACCCGGGATCAAACCTGCAACCTTTGGTGCATGAAGATGACGCTGCAACCAACTGAGCCACACCAGTCGGGGCTATTTACTTCCTTGATATTGTCCTTAGATGCAGAGAAGTTTTCATTTTGATAAAGCTACACATCTGCTTTTTTTTTTTCTTTTGTTGCTCATGTTTTTGCTGTCATCTAAGAATTTATGACCAGATTTAAGGTTATGAAGAATTACTATTTTCTACCAAGAATTTTATGGGTTTATCTGTTATTCTTGGGTTTTGGATCCATGTTGAGTTAATATGATTAGAGGTTAGGGGTCCAATTTTATCTTTTGCATGTGGAGATTCAGTTGTTCTCAGCACCATTTGTTGAAGTGACTATCCTTTCCCCCATTGAATGGGCTTGGCATGCCTGTCAATGATCAATTCT